TTACATGTAGTTCTAGAACAGACAACAGTAATGCATACCAGAGGTGGAGCTGCCAGACTAAACAGAGAGGATTAACTGAAAAGGGGCACAGGAGGTTTTTTGTGGGCCCCCACGACCTGACAAAATGTTTTATTTATTGATTGTGGTGGATGTATGATGTAAGGTTGTATACTATCATCAGAGCTCAATGAGCTAAGCATTAAGGGTCATGTATTTTATTGCATGCAATAGCTCAGTGAAGACAAGCCACCACAAACAAAAAGGAAATGAAATGTAACGCATACAAAGCATCCCTGAATACTTACCATGTACAGACATTAATTTGGGGAATGTTACAGGTGGGTATAAGTTGTTCATCAAAGGTTCTTAGATGGGAATTTGATCCCTATGTGGTTGGTGGTTTTTGGAGTGGTCTAAATATTGATAGATCAGAAGGTAATGTTAAAAGGCAATCAGATAATGGGGGCCTCATCCTCAGAAGGAATTCATGCTTCTCTTGCAGTGTAATTCTCACTAGAATGGGTTGTTGATGGGGTTACCCCATGTACTAGGCCTTTTTTATACACAGTTGATTCCTTTCCTAGTTCTCCATATTGTGGAGAACCAAAAGGCCTTCGCCCAAGACCAAACCTACAGAAGCATCCAATTTCAATCTTTGAATCTCCCAAACTGTGAACTAAGGAAACCTGTTCATCTCAGACCCGGCATCAGTGATTCTATTAAGGCAACAGGGAGCAGACTAATCCAGAGAGTCAGAGAAAAGCAGGGGAGGATTCCTGTCAGAGCCAAGGACAGGAAAACCATCTTTGACCTGATTTCTTTTTGAACTTGCCTTGAACCTAATTGCTTTTCCATGTTCAGGTTAAGCTGCGATCTCTAATGTATTTTTGGTCATTAATTTAAATGTTTTGCCCGTCTTAACTGGAATGTTCACACTTCGACATAAATCTCCTTCACGGCACATTTATATTCTCCATTTGTGTTGCCCACAGTGATTAGTGGGTCACTCTGGTCTGTGCTGTGAGAACAGGTCACTAACCCGACTCATCTGTCCTGAAGTAGTCCCCCTTTGCTGCATCCACACTGTCTAAGCTCATGTTCTCATTTTCTGTCTGAGCTTAGGCAAAAGAAAAGATTCAACACATTTGTCTGAGTTCCTAGAAGGAGATTTCATTTTACCATTACAACTAATTGATACTTTCCTGAGCAACTCTGCACTATTTTTAGCACAGGATCTGTTTCACAAAAGAGTCAGTAAGATGATGACTTTTAAAGAGTTTTAAAATAATGTGGTGCAGAACACACTTAGCAATTTTTCTTTCTTAGAGGTTTATTGTCATTGCTGGTCTCATTTTACAGTTGTGGAGTTGATTGTAGCCACATGGAATGTAAGTCCTATGACCGTGGCACAAAAGGTCTAGCATGTTCCCTCAGCATGCTTGCTCAGGTTCCATATTGTCTAATACACATTGAATAAGAATGAACACCTCAACACGGGGCTTGTTAATCTCCCACGTTTCAGAATATTTATTTGACTATGCAGAGATATGTTGCATTTGTTTATGTTGCAAAATATTTGTTTAACTATGCAAAGTTGTGTTGCATTTGTTTAATTATGTAAAGATGTGTTGCTGTTTTACCTTGCCTGCCTATGGCACCTGATTGGTCTAATAAAAATTTAAACAGTCAATAGCAAGGGATGAGGTATAGGTGGAACTTCCAGGCAGGGAGTGTAAGTAGGAGGAGGAATTTAGGCTTGAGGAAGAAAGAAAAGGAGACTACAAGGAAATGCTAGGGGCCAGACAGACAGACACGGACGAAGAAGGGAAGTAGGACATAAAGAATGAAATAAAGGTAAAAAGCCACAAGGCAAAACATAGGTATAAAGAAACAGGTTAAATTAAGTTAAAAGAGCTAGTGGGACAAGCCTAAGCTAAGGCCAAGTATTCATAATCAATAATAAGTTTCCCTGTCATGATTTGTGGGCTGGTGGTCTGAGAAAGCCTGCTACAGATTAATGGACTTATTAGTCATTTTAAAAGACTGAAAACCAGCCAGGCAGTGATTGGGCATGCCTCTAATCTTAGTACTCAGGAGGCAGAGGCAGGAGGATCTCTGTGAGTTCAAGGCCAGCCTGGTCTACAGCGCTAGTTCTGGGACAGTCAAGGCTACAGAAAGAAACCTTGTTTCTTTTACAAACAAATTCTATTACAAAACAAATAAACAAAATAAACAGTATTTCCACCCCAAAGTGAAAACTTTGGGCTGCAGTTACCACGTTTACTGTGTGAGGAGTGGGTTCTGCAAGGAGACCCGCCTACTATCCTTTATGCTAACTTTTGACTCAACCAATGTGTATACAGATTCACTCGAATGTGTTCATTGGCAAGCCTACCACTTTTGAGAAAAGTTATGTGTTGAGGACATCTAGAGCTGTCATCTCCATCTCAAAGTAGACCAAACCCTTAAAGATGATTTTCCCCCTGCCAGCCATCTGTTCACACTCCCACATGACACTACCTTTGCCCATTCAATATAATTCAGGCAGCTTCACCACCCTTAAGTATTGCCTAGGGATCATCACAGACTGCAGAGCAGTGGTTCTCAACCTTCCTAATGCTGCAATCCTTTAATACAACTCCTCATGTTGTGGTGACCCCAACCATAAAATTATTTTTGTTGCTACTTCATAACTGCAATTTTGCTGCTGCTATGAATTGTAATTCAATATTTTTGGAGATAGAGGTTTGCCAAAGGGGTTGTGCCCCACAGGTTGAGAACCACTGCTATAGATCACCAAAAGGTGTTAAGATCAGCCTTGGACTGAGTGCTGGTGGACTGATTTCCAGGTGATATCTGACATTGCTCTTCAAGTCGTGTACATTGATCTTGGTCACCTTAGAGATAAACTTTCTGCTTATCATCCTTGGACTTCTCACTGGGCAACAAAATCTTTCCTGGAAATTTCCTGATTTTAACCCTGAAGATACTATATCCTTGGAAATATCCTAGTTGCCAGTAAACCAGGAGGCTTATGTCTTTGGCTAGTGAGGTCTGGGTGTTGAGACATCATGTGAGAGGATAGGGAAGGATCAGAAAAGCCTAAGGAAACCATAAGTCGAACTTCCATATCTGGTGTTGATTTGGACCTTAAAAGAGAGGATGTTAGAGGAGGGGCTTGATGTTAAGACCAATGAGGGAAACTTCCCCCTAGTCAGCTGACTTACTGATAGGTGTTTTACATTAGTGAGCTCATCACCTCCCTTTTAGAAACACTGAAATTTTAAAGATGACTTCAAAGGGAGAAATATTTGTTCACAATTCTGTGGCTGACATGAGCTTGGTTGAGAACACAAATACACTTCTGAAGTCAATGCTGATGGGAACATTTGCCAAGGGGACCAAAGAATAAAAAGAACAAATGCTTCTGCTGCCCTCACACAGGGCACAAACACAGGTTTGACATGAAAGCGCCAGAGTCCAGAGGTCTAAATGGTAAGCTCATACTTAAACTTGACATCAAAAACAAAATGGAGAAGGCTGTGCTGCACACTAGGCCAGCACTGATCTTGAAACCCTAGAATAGCAGGCACTAAAAATCCCAACAACACTGAGCTACAATGAAAGTATAAAAAGACTTCCTTTTTTTCACTTGGACTTTGGTGTCCATCTTAACCAAGCAGAATTAATTCACAGCCTAGGAGCTCTGCAAGCTGATGTTTATTTATAATATTCAATATTCCCATAAGCACACATGTTCCAAATGGAAGGTTGCATTTTGATAATGCCTGTTTCTTCATTAAGATTTCATCATCCACCTACATTAAGAAGCCTGGCCCTACACTTTGTTGCTTCTGCTTTCACCTTGTGGATTCCTGCTTTATTTGCTTAATCTCAAGTTCCTGGCTTCCCAGGCACTCAAATTTGAAACAAGCAAAGTTCATGCATTAGTGTATCCTGAGCATACATGATTTATGAATGGCAAGGTTCTTGGCACAATTTAATGGTATAAGAGAGACTTTTGTTTTAAACATTAAACTGAAAGTTAAGAAGTAGCAACAATGGATGGAATATCAGAACACACAGACTGCAAAGAGGTCCAAGATTCACTGGTTCTTAGTTGTTCTTCAGTGTGTGAATGGATGTTCTCACCAATTTAATAAACTATATAAACATCTAACATCTAGACAATTTAAAAAGTACTTTAAATTGTTATTCTGAGAACTTACCTAGACAAACCTTCATTCTGCAAATAAAAAGCTTATATTTATGTAAATTAAGATGTCAACTGCTTTAAGTATCCCAAAGTAAATAGTTGGATTTTTTTTGTACCAGACATTATATTATATTCAGAATGTTTTTCACCATAGTTATTATTTCTCTGATGAATAATTTAGAAATCATCCAGTGTTGGTGTTATCAAAATTTCTAAGAAAAGTTGAAAATTTCAAACTATAGAGAAAAACTTCTCCCTTCTACCAAGTCCTCCTTCTACCAAAAAAGCCCAAATAATATAATCTGTGATTAACACTTATATCTAAAGCTTATTTAGTAGCAAAATAACCATTAAATTAATCATTTCAAATGACACTTTGTATTTGTGGTGTCCCAACCACTTAACACAGATATAAGGAACATCCAAACTTTCCTTGCATGTGGTCAAACTGAATGCCTTGTCAGATTATGACTGTGTCTTCAAATAACAATGCAATAATTTCACATTTAAATGATGTTGTACCCTGCAATAGTTGCTTATGAGTACTTCCAGAGGACCTGAAAAGCTTTGCTGTCCATGTGAGGAAATGAGGGTTGATAAAACCATGGCTTGAACAAGCTCAGGATTCATAAACAACTGAAAAGGTTGCTTTCTGTAGAGACCCTTTATGCTATTTATGATAGAAGACCCCTAAGCTACCGTGCCCATTCAGGGGGCTTTTTGTCCATTTCAGAGAAGTCGGCCAGTGAGTGGAGCACTGCACCGCACCTGGGCATGATGTTACCTTGTAGATTTTGCAATGGCAGAGTCATGATGCCTCCAGCTGCAGCTGCTGCTACCAGCCCTTGGATGTTTGTGAGATTCGCTGTGGGCAGTGTGAGAACCAGGCCTTGCTGACCACCCAGCTGTCCCGCCATGTTGAAGGGGATGAGGATGGGCTGGTTGAGGGCTGGGGGGCCTCCCGGCATCACCCCGGCCACAGCAGAGGCTAACTGCTGTGCTGTCAGAAGAGGCTGCAAAACAAGAGAAACCTGGCTCACTTTCCAGCCGAATAAGACATGGCCTTTCAAAGCACAGTCCCTCCGTTCTATCCAGTCAGGTGTTTCTGAAGTAGTAAAGAAGCATACCCTATCCCAGAAAAAAAAAAAAAGACTGTAAGGAAGAAATTATATTTTGACATTATGTTTCACTTATTTCTTGGATAATTTTCAATTTTTTTTAAAGAATCTCTGTGGAGCTTAAATACTTTTAAGAGAAACACCATACCTTTACACATTGCAAATTCAATTGAAGTTTCATTTGATCCCGATTCTCATATATTTAAAGTGCTCAGCTAATTTATTCTATGTAGTTAGAGAAAATTCATTGATGTTGGTAGGCTTTTTAAATTCTATTTTTGGTTCAAAAATAGTAATAACATACTGTTTTCAAGTATTACATCAACAAAAATTGTGTCAAAGATTATCTGAATGCTAGAAGGTCTTTAGTGATGCTGTTATGCACATCCGTGGCTGGAGGGCCTGATTGCTGGCATAATCCTTTTGGAAAGCAATCTGGAAATACATAAATATCAAGAATGGCAAGTACATTCATCCCCATTTGACTCAGAATATACTCCTAGGATATAGCTTCAAGATAGAATTCAAAGGGAAAAGAGATAAATGCACGAAATTATGCAATACACTTCAAATTACATAAACGTTGAAGCAGTTCATGTTAGAGCATTAAACCTGGTGAGATGCTGTGTACTTATTAAAATGGACCATTTTGGTGTCTATTTAGGAAAGCTAAAAATGTTTCTGATATGAAAATAAACTAGATAGTTATTAAGTAAACAAGTGGTTACTATTGAAATGGTTTTATATGTGTGTGTGTGTGAAGATATAAAATGTAATAGAAAACAAAATACTTAAAGATAAAATACCAAAAAAGTATTTTCTGTTAATTTTTTCAAACTCTTTCCCCAATTAAGATGTTATTATAAAAACACATGTTTATGTCCACTCTTGATTGAACTGTCACAGTTTGTGTAAAAGGCAGCAATAGAGCACAAAACTTGATTGTGTGCTGGGGTAGGGTCCTAAGTGGAGTGATAAACTAGGATTATGGTTCTGGCCAGGCTGCATGGCAGCACAAGCCACTTGACCTTAGAGTCCTTAAGCCAGGACTTTCTCTACAGCCTTGTGGGAGCTGTGGAATAAAACATAACCACACACTTTTTTCTTCTACAGAATTCAAAATGAAACTCTTATCTAGGATTAACTTTCTTTTTTGGTGAAAAATAGAAAAGATATTGAAATATGGACATGATATAAAGTCAGATTATCATCACCAGACCCTACATTCCAATTATCCTACCAATGAGACTCAGAGAGTTTCATAACTTCCTGGAAGTTCCATGTCTCTTGCGTGGAGAGGTCAAGTAAAGACCAGGTAGACTGTTCCAGAGTCTATCTTGTTTACCCTTCTCCTTAATACAAGGAACAGATTCAGAGACAGAGGGCTGCTGCATTTGAAGAATGGGGGCAAGGGTGGGCACATTCTCTGGTTCTCCCTCTAAAGTAACCTCTAGATCCTTTGAAAGGAAGCCCTGGAGAAGTACTGGGCTCCCAATGTATTTGTTCACTTTACTGAATTCACATCAGTAACTTTGTTCTTCCCTTTAAAAAAACACAAAGTTACTCTAAAGAACAAATAATCAGACTTGGGGAATAATAATGCTATTGTAACTTGGCCTTAAGGTTCCTGATCAGATATTATGGCCAATCAATACAATGCTGAAAGGGAAACATGTAGCTCTCATGAGGATTGTACACAGGTTTGGAGGCTCGACATGCAGAATTTTAAGCCTGGATTTCAGGCTTAAGGTAGGGTATGCCTTCTTCTGGTTGTCACAGAGCCATGCTTCTTCCTTGTCTTGAGTCTGTCATTCTAATTACGTGACTTAGAGATATTAGATAGACCATATTAGGACTCATGTGCCTCCAGGCACATCTGTGGACACACATATACAGAAGCACATAAACATATGAACACGTGAGGTAAGAAGGATGACTTTATGAGGTTATGACACATGGAAGCCAGTGACTCATGTTCTAAGAACTCTGTCTAGGCTTTGATCTCCCAAATAGACACTGCCCAGTCTTCATGTCTATCAACCTGGGATTGTGTGGCCTCCGAGATGGGTGATAGGGTCTGAGGCTATTGGACGATTTCATGGTGATTAGAAAGAGAGTGTCTAAATTGATTCAAGCTTTATACTTGGGCAATCCCTCCTTGTACTGAAAGTGATTAATTTCCAGGAACAGCAATGGCAGCAGTAGAGAGAAAAAGGCCCAGATATTTCTCTCCCTAAAAGCAAGATGAACTCGGAAAGTTTCACAGTCAGTGGCAGAGGTTAAAGAAAGCCCAGCCTTTTATAATTGTGTTCTACATCTCCATATAACCCATGCCAGGCTGCAAAAAACAAATATTGGACTTTAAAAAATAATGAATGTATTTCTTTATTAATGCAAGAGCTATGTGTGATGTACAGTATTGTCAAACCCAATAAGCTGAACTTGCATTAAAATTGCATTAACTTTTTTATATTAAATCACATCTTGTATTTCAAAAATGGCTATAGTAAGGTTGAAATAACTTAATTTTCTTCACACTCCAGTCATTAAAGTTTTACTTTAGAAAAAAACTGCATGGTAACCACCAGCCTAGATGGAGTAGGTTTTAAAGGGGGCAGGAAACATTTCCACATGATTAAAACCAACCTTTCCTTTAAGAAGAGACTTTTGCAAACACATATTTTCTTGAGAGTATTTAATAAATAATGTAGTCATATAGCTTCCCATACAAAAATTTATCACCATCTTTGCTCTGTTGGAGTTAATTGGATTTAACTCATTATTATTTATTTGGTTATTTATATGGTAAAACCATCTTAAATGCAGCCTAATGGAAAGCAGTTGAGAGATACTGACCTGTGGCCCAACGGGAAAGGGGGGGTGAGTCTGACTGGCCTGGTGCTGGTCAGGAGTTCCTGGCTCTGATAGGACTGTGTTTCCTCTGGCCCCTGGAATTCAAAAGAGAAAAGCTCCCTTAGTATCAAGACCAGCCTAGAAACAGCACATTTCTGTGATATCACAGGACACTGAGGATTAGATGCCAATGAAAGAGTGGTTTTTCAACAGCTCCAATTATGGGGAAAAATGATGCTATGGTACATGCAGGGTGGCCAATGTCATTAGGACATAGAAAGGGAAGACAATAGGAAAAGGTATACTTCCATATATATACCAAAAGACTTTCATTAGACATCAGTTTGGATAGCACACTCTAGTTTAGTGTGTGCATGTGCACATGTGTTCGTGCATGTGTGTGAAACTGTGTCTGTTATGCTCATGTGAATAATAGATAAACTGATTCTCCAGTCTCAGACATGACCAGGTCTGTTCATATTGTTCCCTGATAGGGATTTTTTCCTTTGTTCTATACCCTTAAGCTATCTCTTCATGCTGGCTTTGGATGGACTCTTATGAATGCCCTTTCCTAAAACCATAGTCCTTTTCAGTGCCCCCTTCTACAGTGTCCTAAAAGGAATATGGGTCTCCTTAGGCAAGTTTTCTGAATAGAGAGCGAAAGAGAAATGTCTCACTATCAATTCGCAGAGACCCACTACTGTAGGCACTGAACTCACTGTATTCCCATGCTGAGATCCTGTTGCATTTCAAGCACCCTGGCAGCAAATCCCTAAAGCCTTTGGGCATTGTCTGCATGCTTATGTGCTTCATTTCAGGACAATCCATAGTGGTTAAGATAATGGTAGAAACAATAAATACTTGAATAAAAAAATAAACAAAACTGCCAGCCATGTCTGAAGTGTCCCTGTTAGGGGCTTTTGTTTTCTTGGAGTTTTCTAATGGGGTGGTTGAAATCCAGTTCTAAGCAAACCTTAACAAGATCCACTTTCCTGGTGTTTGTCCTATGAATAGCAAGTGGAAGACATTTCAAACTCTGTTTACTGGCATGCTGAGGCCAACCAATGAAAAAAGATATGATTCTGTCATGCTTATAAATTTTAAAGAAGGTATTATTGGCTCATTTAAAACAAATTCTTCTATATAGTCTCCAAAGGGACAGACTTATAAATAATGGAAATGTGGAAAAAATACTTCAGCACATTAAGCTACAAATAAAATTGACTGCTACATATTATTCAATTGACTTCTATCTCCACAGCGATGTGTCAATCATAACAGCATTTTATAATAGGATTAAGCAATAAACGTGCAAAGCCATTATACAGAAATCTGAAAATCTGATTAATTTGTAATATTTTTTTCATGCAGAAAGTCAGGAATGGACATTGCTTTGGGAATACTTACAAGCATTCTATTGAAATTTCTAAATTGATTTGGAGCAAACTAATAAAAACACAGACTTGCTGACATTTTATAAACTGAATTCTGTCAGGATATGTTTGGCATTTTAATCATCACTGTCATTTAATAACAAGGGTAAGATGACCCATAAGGAGATACCAACAATCCCCATATATGCAAAAGAGCTGTCCCCTGAATTTTTTATATGTGGTTTATTTATTATGCTTGAAAACCAGGGCATGTTAAGCTAGGCAGTGCTTTATGTAGTATAATCTCATGGTCTCCATTCAGCCCCCAAATAATGCTTTTGATCAAATATTAAGAATAGGCTAATTTGCAAGTAACTAAAAATTCACTGCTTAGAAAAATGTGGCTGCTTCCTTCAGCTTGTTAGGTCTGGATTTTTATACCAGAAAATATAAAAAGTTTTACAATGTACAGAAAAACAAAAAAGTCCTTTTTTTAAACAAATAAATATACATTTTGATATTAAAATTTTCCATAGCAAAACAGGTCCCTTTGTATCCGATTTTCTTCATGTGTTCAGAGTCTATTTTGGACTCTGTTCTTAACACATCCCACGGTAATGCTGAGGACTGGTTCCATCCAGGAACTGTACCAACACTTGTGTATGTTTGCTCTCTACAATTCCATACAGATTCCATTTGCTTATATTTATCCTTTGGTGTTCTGAGGCCCTGACTGGTGCTCAGCAGCTTGTTCTGAGAATGACTATTCTCAAAAACCATGTTCAACGCAGTCTGGGGCAATTCCACACAATTTCATGTGTAAAATGAAGTCTTTCACAGGCTCTAGAGGAGATTATGTATGCTTTCCCACCTGGATCAAAAAGTAATGTTTCTTCTTAATGCGCATCTCCATTTTCCCCAAACACATGTATCACTCTTAACCTTGTAGGACCATAAACTAATCTGTTTGCTTGGAAGGCAGTTCCTGTACAGGGGCCTTCCTGGAGCCAGAGGGGAATCCAGCAGTCAGAATGAATAAAAGACATTGGCTAAAGGTTTTAGAGATTTGAAACAACACTTAGTGTAAGGTTGCAAAGAATTTGAGGTTAGGCATTTCCATGGCAAAGACAAGAAAACATAAACATTATCAGCTGACCAGGAGCCTAGAAAACACAGTACACCACTGGAGACCAAGGGTCCCAAGACAGTCCTCTGATGTTAGCTCTGTAATGAATGACCTGTGCTTTGAAATATTATGTCTTTGTAAGCAACTAGTAAACATAAAAAAGTAATGTTGTATGATGTTTTCCTTAAAAAAAGTGATGTGGTTTGATCATATTCACCTTAACTCACTTCCTTTTCTTCTATCCCACCCTCTTAGGCCTTCATTCTCTTTACTGGTGGTAACTCCTCTTGACTGGGAGCTCTTAGGCCAGGATATTTCATTCATACTTAGGGACTATTCAGTGATACAAATAAAGGTTTGGCTTAAGATACACGTTGACATTCATTTATTCATGATTACTTATTACTCTTTAGCATAAATCTTGGGAATATCTTTAAATTATTAATGTATTGACAAATTCTATCTCAGTTCCAGTTGACAGATTGATACAGCATGGATCTAAAATGTCCCTACAGCCTGTGTGTTAAAAGCCTTACTGCCAGCCTGTAATAAGATGAAGTGATAGAACCTTAGGTAGAATGGACTAGCAGAAGGAAGCTGAACCATTGTGGGCATGTTTTTGAAAAGGATCCTGGGATGTTGGTCCCTTCCTCATGCTCTCTTTGCTTTCTGTCCACCATAATTTTGGTACCTATGGGGGTCCTGTCCATCATATGATGTCTTGCTGAGACCTCCAAATAAAGGGGCAAACAGGCCATTGACTGAAACTTCTGAAAAAATAAGCCAAAATGAATCATCCCCATCAGGAACTTTGCCACAGTAACAGAAAGCTGACTTAAGCTTATAGAGGAAGCAACTTGGTATAAAGATTAAAGGTAAGGTTCCTTACATTTGAAACTTGGTCAGGGTTATATTTAGATCTGCCACCTCACTAGGGATGTGGACTTGGAATTGTTTTCTAATTACTTACTCACCAGCTTTCTCTTAGGAAAGTCAGGGAAGATGACAGGGCTTCCTTCACAGGTTGGCTGCTGTGAACTGCCATATGAGATAATATGTAAATTCACTGAAACACTGCATGCTTGCTATATAAATGCTACATCTGTTGGTTATTATACTTTAACAAAGTTTGCATTTAAAGTAGTATTTCATGTCATTTAATTTGTTTATAATATTTACCCATTGAAGCCAACTAATACATATTATAATCTCCATGTGTGCTTATCTTGGAAATATCTTATACACAAGCTAAGGATATGCACTGACTTTAACTATGTACTGTGCACGATAAGATCAATGTTTGGAATGGAGCTTAGTAATTGGGTCTCTCAGAGCTTACAAAATGTAATGTTCACAAACAGTCTTCCTTCAGTATGCAGAGAGTTGTTTCTCAGACCCTGTGAATACCAAAATCTGAGGGTATTAGTCTCTTACCTAAATCTGCATAACATTTACATATAACCTATAGATACTCTCTCATTCACTTAAATCACCTCTAAATTACTCATAATGCCAAATGCAATGAGCATGCTATGTAATTGTTATACTGTATTGTTTAAGCAGTTATGACAAGAAAAAAGTCTATACATGTTTAAATGAAATTCTTTCCCAAATAATTCAATCTATGATCTACAATTTTAAATCTATAAATAAGATGCTGATGATATGGGAGGTCTCACTATAGGCTGCTAGTTTATGGTAACACACTCAGAACAAGTAGCTTCTAAATTCTCTCACAGACCACAGCTTAGACTATCACCCCCCCTTCCCGCCCAACTTAAGTCTTATTGGAGCCTCTTGAAGCATTTCACAGCCCATAGTGACCTAGGGACAGAGAGTGGAAGAGAGTATCTGTAGGGGCATTTCTCAACTCCACCAGGATTAAAGACAGTTGGGAGTGAATAATGGTGGCTTCACTGCTATGTGTGAGAGTTTAAGCTTCCTTTCCTCTGGGGACACACACCCAGCTTGCACCACTGCATGCCACTTGTGTGACATCAAACATGAACAAAACATCACCACACACCACTGGAGTCATCACACAACACTGGTTTTGTGTGTAGCTGTTGAGTCATGATCAGCATGACTCCTCTTGCCTTCCTAGTTTCCTCGCCCTGGACATACTCTTATCATGCCCAGATTGAGATTGCCAGCTTGGAAAGGGGAAGAATCAGCCTCAGACACACATTCTGTAGTTGTAGTCTATTCACAGATAATTCATGGAGTGGAAACCAAGTGGGAAAGGGTCACAGTGTGCAATGTAAAATCAAGGATCTTTGTCAGAAGGCCTCCTTCTTTCAATTCCACCTTTCCTGCCAGATCTCCAATCTGTGACTCACACTGCTGTCTGCCTGTCCCCGTTTGGAAGGAAAAGGAGGAGGAGAAAACAGAGAGAGAAAGAGAGACAGAGACAGAGAGGGCGTGTGTGTGTGTGTGTGTGTGTGTGTGTGTGTGTGTGTGTGTGTGTGT